TATTACTTACAAAGAGAGGGTAATGTTTGTGATATATTTATATGATAAATAAATGTAAGTGGTAAGCATTATGTCATTTATATGTTTTTTTAAAGACTTTTGTATTTTCAATTTTTATTAGTTTCTTGTGTTTGCATATTGATAATTCTATTTTAAAGAATTTCACAAATATAATTTTTATTTTCACGAATTAATCTTACATAATTTGAGGCCTTCACCAAAGTGGGTCTTTAGGCGATGGTCAATCCAATCTATAGTCAGGGTCGCCACTGCATTTCATTTACAAACAAGAAAAATATGAATATAAAAGTGGCAATATTGTTGATATTCATCTATTTTTTTTCCTTTAAAACAATATTATTGGTATCCGTCATACTGATATACATGTACTTGTCCATGTTATATAGTTGGAAAATTTGTCGATTGGAAACGAAGGATAATGAATGGATACCCCAGCTATGTTTTGAAAGGTCACAATCGGAGCTAGCAAGCTCAACAAATTTAAATGAAACCCTCATTAGATGCTAAAAGAAGAAAGGTACTAGGAAGGGTAGAAGCTTTGGACCATATTGTTTGGAAATATTATGCTCATTTTTGTTGTGTTGAACAAAATAATTGATTAAATACTTGTGTTTCTTTCTTTAATTCTAGATCATTGTACAATTACATAATTGAATAATTATTAATCGTTGTTTAAATTTTACACTACGAAATAAATCAAAGAACTATAGAAAGTTTTGAACGTTCCATTAGCCTCCCTCTCACTTGATCCAGTTTAGAACAATATCCAAAAAGGAGAAGATAATGATGGAGGTTCTAAAATACGGGACGGATCAAGCATATCTGCAAAATGTAGATTCACGATCCACATTTATATAAATAAATAAGGATTCATCAACCTATCGATTTACGGACTTCGAAGTATTCTTTCCATGTCTCTCCTTATCCTTTGAATTATTAGATTGCTAAAATGGACAAGGCCACGGAGGGTTGATGTGGCACCCCTGTTCGAATAGGGCCCTATTCGAACAGGGGTGCCACATCAACCCTCCGTGGCCTTGTCCATTTTAGCAATCTAATAATTCAAAGGATAAGGAGAGACATGGAAAGAATACTTCGAAGTCCGTAAATCGATAGGTTGATGAATCCTTATTTATTTATATAAATGTGGATCGTGAATCTACATTTTGCAGATATGCTTGATCCGTCCCGTATTTTAGAACCTCCATCATTATCTTCTCCTTTTTGGATATTGTTCTAAACTGGATCAAGTGAGAGGGAGGCTAATGGAACGTTCAAAACTTTCTATAGTTCTTTGATTTATTTCGTAGTGTAAAATTTAAACAACGATTAATAATTATTCAATTATGTAATTGTACAATGATCTAGAATTAAAGAAAGAAACACAAGTATTTAATCAATTATTTTGTTCAACACAACAAAAATGAGCATAATATTTCCAAACAATATGGTCCAAAGCTTCTACCCTTCCTAGTACCTTTCTTCTTTTAGCATCTAATGAGGGTTTCATTTAAATTTGTTGAGCTTGCTAGCTCCGATTGTGACCTTTCAAAACATAGCTGGGGTATCCATTCATTATCCTTCGTTTCCAATCGACAAATTTTCCAACTATATAACATGGACAAGTACATGTATATCAGTATGACGGATACCAATAATATTGTTTTAAAGGGAAAAAATAGATGAATATCAACAATATTGCCACTTTTATATTCATATTTTTCTTGTTTGTAAATGAAATGCAGTGGCGACCCTGACTATAGATTGGATTGACCATCGCCTAAAGACCCACTTTGGTGAAGGCCTCAAATTATGTAAGATTAATTCGTGAAAATAAAAATTATATTTGTGAAATTCTTTAAAATAGAATTATCAATATGCAAACACAAGAAACTAATAAAAATTGAAAATACAAAAGTCTTTAAAAAAACATATAAATGACATAATGCTTACCACTTACATTTATTTATCATATAAATATATCACAAACATTACCCTCTCTTTGTAAGTAATATGACCATTTATTTTTCAAACATTCATTTTCTTTTCTTAATCAGACAGAAATGTCTCTTTGTCTCTTCAAAATCCACGTAAAACAGTAATCCATCATAATTTTTCATCTAAGCAAGAACTGAATTATTTCATGTTGAATTAAAATTTTGAAAATTCAATTTAAAAGACTTGTTTGGTGCCACTGCGATTATTACAGCCTTACAAGTTTTTCAATTTCTCCTTTATTTTCAAAACATATACTACAAAGTTTATAAGCTCTTATTATTATTGTCCAAAATTTCGGCTCGCGAGCCGGCTCGGCTCGACTCGTTTACATCCCTAAGTAACGGTTTTCGTCCATTTAGACATCTATTGCATATTTATAAAATGTTAGAGACCTTTACTGACACAAATTAAATGTTAAAATAAAGTCCGCAAAACTTGAAAAGGCTAGGAATCGCTGTTGCAAATTTTCCTTAAAATTATTTTAATATGTTGGCTCCATTGCCAACTCGGTCTGTCTTAGTGATTTCATCAGGGCCAACTTTGATATTTTGGGAGCCTTATGCGAACTTTAAATATCTTGTCCTATTGAAAAAATAAATAAAAAAATCATCGTATTCTTACTTGACTTTTCTTATAGAGAGTTTTAATATAATCATGAAGGATTTAATACAGACAAATAAGCCCTGAAATTGAAGAGAAAAATAACAAAATGTTAAAATTCAACATGCAATACAAATTAGAAGTGAAGTTTGGCATACAGAATTATAATGCAATGGCAAAAGGGTCTTTTCGTTTCTTTGATCATTTTTTCACTGCAACTATTTAAAACAAAATTGAATATATATTTGAATGATTTATGTATAAAATCGGAGAATGTTAACTCCGAGAGATTGTATAATAAAATAATGAAAATGACAATCAAATACAAATGAGCTTCTAATTTTATATTAATTTATACTAAATTAACTTAAATATAAGAAGTATGAACACGGACAAATAATTATTAAATTCAAAGTACTTTTAACAAGCATCTAAAAATTATATTATCATGAGATTAAAACAAAACAATAATAATAAGAGCTTATAAACTTTGTAGTATATGTTTTGAAAATAAAGGAGAAATTGAAAAACTTGTAAGGCTGTAATAATCGCAGTGGCACCAAACAAGTCTTTTAAATTGAATTTTCAAAATTTTAATTCAACATGAAATAATTCAGTTCTTGCTTAGATGAAAAATTATGATGGATTACTGTTTTACGTGGATTTTGAAGAGACAAAGAGACATTTCTGTCTGATTAAGAAAAGAAAATGAATGTTTGAAAAATAAATGGTCATATTACTTACAAAGAGAGGGTAATGTTTGTGATATATTTATATGATAAATAAATGTAAGTGGTAAGCATTATGTCATTTATATGTTTTTTTAAAGACTTTTGTATTTTCAATTTTTATTAGTTTCTTGTGTTTGCATATTGATAATTCTATTTTAAAGAATTTCACAAATATAATTTTTATTTTCACGAATTAACCTTTCATAATTTGAGGCCTTCACCAAAGTGGGTCTTTAGGCGATGGTCAATCCAATCTATAGTCAGGGTCACCACTGCATTTCATTTACAAACAAGAAAAATATGAATATAAAAGTGGCAATATTGTTGATATTCATCTATTTTTTTTCCTTTAAAACAATATTATTGGTATCCGTCATACTGATATACATGTACTTGTCCATGTTATATAGTTGGAAAATTTGTCGATTGGAAACGAAGGATAATGAATGGATACCCCAGCTATGTTTTGAAAGGTCACAATCGGAGCTAGCAAGCTCAACAAATTTAAATGAAACCCTCATTAGATGCTAAAAGAAGAAAGGTACTAGGAAGGGTAGAAGCTTTGGACCATATTGTTTGGAAATATTATGCTCATTTTTGTTGTGTTGAACAAAATAATTGATTAAATACTTGTGTTTCTTTCTTTAATTCTAGATCATTGTACAATTACATAATTGAATAATTATTAATCGTTGTTTAAATTTTACACTACGAAATAAATCAAAGAACTATAGAAAGTTTTGAACGTTCCATTAGCCTCCCTCTCACTTGATCCAGTTTAGAACAATATCCAAAAAGGAGAAGATAATGATGGAGGTTCTAAAATACGGGACGGATCAAGCATATCTGCAAAATGTAGATTCACGATCCACATTTATATAAATAAATAAGGATTCATCAACCTATCGATTTACGGACTTCGAAGTATTCTTTCCATGTCTCTCCTTATCCTTTGAATTATTAGATTGCTAAAATGGACAAGGCCACGGAGGGTTGATGTGGCACCCCTGTTCGAATAGGGCCCTATTCGAACAGCTTTACCCATTTTAGTCAAAATTCAAAAGTGGCTTTGATTGCTTATAGAAAATGTGTCTTCTTCTCATTGTTACTATATTGGCATGGGTCCGCCTATACTTGCTTTTGTTTTCCCAAGTTTTTCCAAAAATTATATATATATTGTAAGAACATTTTCTTGGAAGTAACATGACAAATGTATTTAGTTTGTCATTCCGAATGTAAACACTATAGGGTCTAATTGGGGATGAATGGGGGCAATGGGACAGGAATTTTGTGAGACATTTTTTATGCTAAGAATCATGTCCATTATGACCTTTGATACATTTTTCCAAAATAATTTTATTTTTCTTCCATTTTACTTGATAAAAATTATTAATTATTAGTGAAAGAGGGTGGTAGTGAGATTTTAGAAAAGAAAGGGAAAGAAATGTTTTTGAAACTACCCAAAGGGGTGGATCCACGGTTAAATTTTGTGTGTGTACACATACACACACATTAAGAGACTACGAAAAAAAATTGACATTTCAAGAATGCGATCAAAATTTGACGTAAAGCATTAATGAAAACAATAAAATCTATTGCTTTATTAAGAAAAACTGAATTCACACTTTCAAACTTAAAAGTTGTCCCAAGTCCCTAATCTCTTCCCCCTTATTGAATTCTCTCTCACACTTTGTATAGTCTATTTAACTAACGTACACATAAGTATCACAAAAAACTGCAATTTTTTTATTATTTTATTTTTTTCCGTTTTTGGTGGCCTCGTATTGGCAAGAGGGGCCCATTTCAAGAAAAACCCCTCCCAAATAGAAGCACAAGTAAAATCAAGATAGAATGACGATACATAAATGTGCGTGGATCAAATTATTCTTGAATTAGTGCCAGCATTCTGGTGTTAGAGAATGATCTCTTTTATAGTCCTTGCAATAGTTATATACCAAGTGGTGTCTTTGCACCCATTTCATTGCCTTGTATTGTTGTCTGGTAAGGCCACCAGAGTGAAAGGGAGAGGCGGAGACTGGGCGGCACCGGGGCGACGCATAGGCTGTGCAGCCACTTGCTTTGAAGTTAGTGAATTTTCCGATGAACGGTTGGTAGCTATAATCAGCTTTATATTTTCCATTTTCAGTTGCCCATGATGAAGCATCCCATATTGACCCATACACCCACATTGGTCTTAAGGGAAATGTTGCTACACTTTTTCTTGGATACCTTCTTAGAGGTACATCATCGACAAAGAATCTGAAAATCCCATAAAATAAAATATTATAATAAAATAAAAACCAAACAAATTCCGTCACCCTAATGAAATTTAATAAAACAAAATGCAATGCAATGTTGAATAGGGAATTGATATTATTATTATTTTATTCAATATTAAACACTGAAGCATGGACCTTGTGATAGTTTGACACTTTCGGTGCTACACTTATTTTAATTCAATTGTGTTATGGGCTACCATTAATGGCTGAAAACTTGAAATGGCAACTATAATAATAATTCTCACAAATTGAATAATATTAAAACAAGAAAAAGTTAAAATTTTATACTCTATATCTTCATGTCTTATAATGCGAAAAAGTGATCTAATGTTAAACTCTTAACAGCTTATCATGGCTAAATTCAGCAGAACTCTATGTATCCGTACTTCATATGATATGACATAAGTAAGACATTAAATCAACCAAAATTAAGATATTTATTTTTACTCATCAATTTATATTTAAATATATAATCATTATTAGGAAAAAAATCTAAAAGAATATTATCTTACATGATTTCCTTGGGACTCCACAAAATGGCATAATGATGGAAATTTTTGGTGGGATCGAACCATAAGTGAAATTTCATCTCTCTCCCAACAATTTTACCATCCCCACTTCCTCGGATATACACATTGGTTTGCAAAGTATAAGGTTTCCCAAATGTTGTCCCGAGAAACTCAATATCTACCTCATCGTGATATCCTGGATGAGCTTCGCTGTTCGAAAGCTGCAATCAAATAATCTTTAATTAACCAAGACCAGATTCACACGTACAATTTTAATAATTGAGTGACGGTGACATACTCTACACCATATTAACGAACTTTTAAACAAGGTAATTCAAAAAATAATATATAACTAATGATAAATTCTTACATAGAAAGCCGTAATTACTCCAGCAGTATAGCCCGTTTGGAGCTTGATGGAGGCTCCAAAGTACCCGGATCGAAATGGTTTAACCGACTTGAACCCACTTCCTGAGATTCTATCAAGCCAAATAGTAATGCCATTATTGTCTATATTCTGATGACCCGGACCCCATAGGTTTCTGTAACCCTGATAAAAGCTCATGGACCTGAACTTAGAACTCGGGTAATAACCTGGGGAGGGTGGCCAATAACCTGCATTGGTTGAGGGGACAAAGAAGATGAAAAGAAATGGGAGAAAGAGGAAAGCCATGAAGAAGCTAAAAGGAATAGAATAGGCAGATTTGAGTGAGAGTTTTGGTGTACAAAAATGAAGGTTGAGACACGGAAGTGTGTACATGAAGAAAAGCATGGTTGTAAAATATGATACAAGTAAAAAGGTTGGTGGGGCGTGGGCCAAATTTTTGCAAGATACCGAGGAGTTCTCATTGAGTGATTAATTTGTGATCTACATTTAATATGGTAACTTTTTCACTAGTCTTGAAATTATTGATTATAAGTGATTTTTCAGGCTAAGAATCTTTATCCCATAAGAGAAGGGAATCATATTTAAGTTGTTAAGCAATGATTATATGTCGATTCTTATAACTTGTTCACATAATTCTTGTCAAGTGAACGTTAACACAGTCTCAAAGGTTCTACCTTCTAGCTGTCAAGGCCATATTCTATGAATTTATACATTTTTTTTTTTTCAGTTTAACCAGTGAAAAAGAATTCCATTAGTAGCATGTTTGAATTCTACAGACCTAGCCACTTTCGATTCTATCTCTAGTTTCGTCCTTGAATCCACTAAATTTCTTGATTGACCAACGAAGATGTAACTCGTTCAATCGTTGATATATAGTGTTGTGGAAACATTAACAATAAAAGCAAAAAGAAGAAGAATAAGATCAACAGATAGAAATTACATTCATTGTATGGCGTGAATAATTTACTAACTTTGAATAGGATTACAGTAGATTGTTTATATAATCATAATCTCGAAATTACTCTTATAATATCATACCGTACTACAGAAGCAAAGGCCCGCACTCCCAACTTATTTGCAAGGACGGGTCCAAGATTGAATTTAAGATTGGGCTATAAAATTTCAAGTCGGACTAATACGTGGAAAAAAATAAAATGCTACACATGAAAAACCGTTTTTACAAGGCAAAAACAAAGACAAATTCTTGGGCCTTGGTCCCCCCACCCCCACCTCCACATCTAACCTAATGGGTTAGTTGATTCTGTTATGGGTTCAGATGGCTTGTCCCTTCGGCTCCATTAACCAGCCCCCATATACCAAAATATGAGCCACCTAATCAATGCATTATAAGTAAGTTTTAGTTATTTTTAAGCATAGCCAAACACACTCACTAGCTAAGTCAGAAGTGCCGCAATTATTTTCATCCCAACTACTTGATATTCTTCCTTAATGAGAAAACTAGAGTCTGATATGGTTGCATGGTTTTGGAATAGTTAAGAAAAAGAAGAGATCTATTGCTATTAACTTGACCGACAGACGCAGTATGTATTCTGTGCGTTCAGTGCAAATATGACTGACTTTCTGCAGGATCTTGGACTTCACCAACGTGCATCTGTCTGAAATTTAAAGGTAAGATTTTCTAATTACAGTGTTCTGAAAAAGCGTAAAATGTAGTTTGGTATAAAGGCCAAGTTTCAAATTTTACGAGTATATAGACGAGGATTATAAGTAAAAAAGCTTTTTCTCATTTTTAATATTTTTTAAAAACTTAAAACTAAAATCAAATAAAAGACTTCTAAAAGAAGGAAAAGAGGCAAAAAATTAATAAAGCGCGACTAAGCACGTCTAGGCATGCTTTATGCGGTTAACTAGGCAATTGAGACTTAATTTCACACTCAATGTCAAGAACACTGCTCATTACACTCCCACTGCGAGTAAATTTTACCTCTCTTTGTTTCCTTTCAGTATTATGTCTGATATGGAGCATTGAAGAACCAAATTGTGGGGTCTGATAAATCAAGGTTGTGAGTGATGGTGTCACCAAAGGCTGTGACCTTTGAGCATTTCTCTAAATTCAGTGGGACACAGGTATCTTTGCAATTAATTACTTCGAAATATTGCATTATTGGTCCTCGACTTATTATGATATATTGATTATGGTTATATAATCAGTCCTCAATAATAAATACGTCAGACAACACATATACAACTTTATAGACTATATTTTAATTGCTTCCCAATGTGATTTGTGCCCATAATATTTTGAGTGAAACAGTTATTATTTATTTATTTTATTTTTTTGGAACAAGGACTTAAATACTTTTCAATTAATTAGTTTTGATTTTCTTTTTTGAAAGTTTATTAGTTGATAATATTGTGTTTAGATGTTAATTTGTTAATCAAATTTGCCCATATTTAACATGCAATCAATCTAATTATGTTATATCATCTCAATTTGATTTTCACAATTATTCCATGATTTTGATTGATGAGTTCGGCAGTTGGTTCTCACCTGGGCTACATAAAAGAATAATGTTACTTGTATGTAATATAGTTACATAATGATTTACGTACATGTGATATGTCAAAAAGAGAGTGGAAAAGTATTTATTTATTTATATTTTGCTAAAAAAATTCTGATCTAATCATATTTCACAATATCATATGTATGTAAGCTATCATATACAAACGTACATAAAAATTTCAGGATAATTCTACATATACATTATTATATCCATAAAGGCGTTCATAATGTACACGTAGAATTTCATGATTGGAGGGTTGAAAAAATTATTTTTCAACTCTCCAATAATGTTATGTCACTTGTACATTATAGACACTTTTATGGACATCATAATGTACATGTAATAGAACCCAAAATTTCACAATCATATATTATTGTGATTTTAATTTCAGAGTCATATACCTCTAGTTTGTTGGTCCCAAATCGTTGATATATAGCTAAGCATATAATATTTTGCTCATACAACTATAATCGCTTTTATGTTTCGTCTATTAACTTTTGATTGATATTTACATTAACTCAAGAATTTCAAGTCAATTCTTGAGAAGAAGTGCCTATGGATGAGATATTTATTCCAAGAGTAAAGAAACGGATTGAGTAGAGGAATTTTCAAACATTTGGCAATATCAAATGTATCTATTGACCCAATATTTCGATGAATCATTGCTTTTCTAGTAGTAATTTTCAAACAATATAAAACTTTGATTTCATTAAGAGTTTTTATGAAGATCAATCGAACATTTGTAAGGCCTCCCTTCATCTGCTTTCCTCCTTCCAGCTCAAACCTCGAAAGCCTATTATTTTGCTTTTAAGAGGGTGAATAAATCGTTAGTAGTCTACATTATGAGGAAACAAGGCAATGAACAAAGAAGTTGATGCCACAAACTCCTCTATAGTCCCCAAGTGTGAAAAAATTCATGGCACATTTTGATGCAATAAATGCCATAACCTACTTACCAAATAGCAATAAATAGGACAAGTTGTGACCTACAGAACCGATTGTACTTGATCAGCCAATTTTAGACCTGTTGTTCATTTCACTTACTTGAAAATTTGTGTTAGTCGTAGACAAATCTTAAATGAATACATGTAACTCCTATCTAATTGCTTAAACTTTTCAATAAAAGGATTAACGAAGTGTTACAAACACAGAAAATACTAGAATTGAAGTCTCACTGTCACAATTTATGAAAATTGTGCTCATATCAATTTTTAAGATTTCACACGATTTGCCAGATAGAAAGATTTGACTTTCTGGCTGTGTTTAGCTGCCATGGGTACAAAAAATATCATGCTTTATAGTGGAAGTTCAAGAAAATCCTTGTCTAGGTCAAAATAAAGGATAACATGAGAAATTTTACTATTGTGTCGGCCAAAATTTAAAATATAAATAAGCAGCCGTCAACAGATCTGTTTCTATTGGAATGAACCCATATTGATGCTCTTTTTTATTTTTATTTTAATTTTATTTATTTATTTATTTTTGGGTTGAAGGGAGAAATAAAATAACCATTTCTGCTTATTTCTAAGTCTGATATTCTTGAGATGCATATGGCGGCCAAACCGGAGTATATTTTTAACGCGATAAGAACATGTCTAAGACTGCTAGTTCGGACAGTATTTTTTTTATTTTTTTTTAAAATCATCCAATGAAAATCTGTCAATTATTATTTCTGTAAAATTTTTATTGATATTTCAAATTCTGGCTTTTGACAGGTGATATTATAAATCTATAATGCTACTTGTACAATATATTTTACAACTTGGTTTACAATGTATGACTTGACAAACATCACATCCATCTATTTGAAAAATTATTTTTAAAACCAATGGCCAAGATTTTTCCAATACACTTATTGTCAATCAAGTTATTGAAATACATTGTACAAGTGACTTTATTCATTATAAATTCGCCATATCATCCATCTATTAACTAAGTGAAAAAAGAAGATGTACACATAGCTTTATCCACATAATCAATAATTTTGCTACATGTACACCTTCTTTTATACCTTGTACACTTAGCGGTGTTTGTAAAGTAACAAAATGCAATAAGTGCATAAATATCAACAAAAATTTTACAGAAATAATGATTGACAGATTTTCATTGGAAGATTTAAAATAAATAAATAGAAGGCCCTATCGATACGATATCACCGGTCAAAAGCCATTGAAAATAGAACTGCACTACACTTACAGAAATGAATTGCACAGATCTCTTACAAATCGATGGGTGGTTATATTTTTTCAATATAATTATTTTGTGGGGAGGATTGCCGTTGAAAATATGGTTAACCAGGCATTAGGCCACATGTCAAGAAGGTACTAACGGATATGAAACTGACGAGAAATGTCCACAGGTCAAAGTCAACGCAAATAATGATAGTTGCCATTGGGTTCTAGGAAATTGCTTACCTGCCTAGGCAGGTAGGTTGTGGAAATCATATTGGATTATGAACCCAAGTAACAGCTTATTTTTATTTCATTATAATTTCGTTAAACAGATCAAACTTTAATTTTAATTATATTTTTTATAATTCATAATTATTATTTTTATCATATTATAATATTAATAATTTATAATAAGACCCAAACAAACACTTAGGTTATGCCGTGAAGCAAACTCCACAATATTTCCCTTACGATTTCTTTTTGAAGCGAACCTAAACATTTCCATAAATCCATTCTTAGTCATTTTCATTTCACAACTAATGATGTTATATTTTTCTTTTTAATTATTTTTTATTTATCTTGAAACAATATTTGACTCTTAAAATGTATTAAAATGTTCTTTTTTGTAATGTTATGTACTCCCATAACAATAACATATTTTTGTTTAGACCATCCCTTGTGCAATCTCATTAAGGGGTTGTTTGAATAAGCTTTTGGTCAAAATTTTAGTAGATTTTCATACAAATTAATAAAATATATGGTGAAAAATTAATAAAAGTTGTGAATCACATTAAATGTACGATTAAGATTAGAGTAATTCTATTGTACACATGGTGTATAAATAGATGATATGAAAAAGAGGGAGACAAAAGATAAAAAGAAAAATAATGATATTTTTACATAAAGAATTACATAATGGTTTATATACAGATGTGATGTCAAAAGAGAGTGTGGCGATTTTTTTTTTTAAATATTTGATTGAAAAAACTCTGATTCAATCATATCTCACTATATTATATATATGTAAACAATTATGTACATGTAGAACAATCACGAAAAAAGAAACTATGTTAATATAATCTTTCTCTTTCTTTTATGTTATCTATTTGTACATTATTATGTACACAATGATGTAAAAATATTATTACTCTTAAAATTATTTGTTAACTTTAACCTAATATCGACAACTTTTTAATATTTTTCAAACAAGCACTAAAAAAGGTTCAATTTTCACTGTCATTGTTCTCAAAATTAATATTAATCGAGCTTATCAAAAACTGTTATTGGTATTAGTCTATAAATTTAAAAATTGAATCGCAATTCCATTAGTGAAAGAAATCTTTATTTAATGTAATTAAAATAACTGAAAGCTGAACAATTTAAGCAAGTAAAGAAACCGAGATGGAATTCTCATGTTTTTATTCTGTCCATCCTAAGCAATTTCCTACGTTGGTCAATATTTTGATGTTTAAGGACATTTTCCCTTGATTTTTTCATACTTTTGCCTTTAATTTTATACTTTAAGGAATATTCCATTTTATTTATTAAACAAAATGCAATAACTGTGGTATCTAATTAAGAAAATTGTATGTCCAAATCCTTTTCACGATAACTAGTCCAACAAAAATCACAAGAAAAACGAAATCTTTCTCAAATTTTTGAGCCTGCCAATATCTGTGCTTCATCCCTTCAGCATAACAGCACAAAGGTGAAAATTTTCTTTCTTGAATCCTTTCAAACACAAAATCATATAGAAGGGTCGTAAATTCCCGTATGTTTTCTTGTTCTTGAATTGCCATTTGCGTCTTCCTTCAACCCAAGGTGAGTTACATTGTTAAAGCCTTTTAGAAATACAATCTTTCTTTATTTCACCTGAAGATTGATTCATTCGCTTGTTAAGATTTTCGATTTCATTAATAAATTTTTTATTGGGAAGCAAATAGATTGGTGAATCCCATTGTTAAAACATATCACAGAAAGATGATTTCTTGAATTCACATATTTTTATGTATGCAATTCAGTTCACTTCAAAAGGACTTTTCAACTGGTAGGTAAAATTTTATTTTATTTTTTTCTGGGTTTTTGATTCAGAAGGTCTCAAAGAATATATAGCCAGATATGGAGATTGATAAAGCAATAAGAGAAAGCGATGATCGAAGGCTGAAGACCAAGTACAAAAATGCAATCCATGTTATCCAAAGGGCTCTTGCTCTTTACTCGTAGGCCCCATTTCATTTTCTTCAAATTTGAATTTTTATCTGTTTTTCGGTTAAGGTATCTTTTTTTCCCCCAAAAAAATATAAAAATGAAACTGTTTATCTATTTATGAATGAGGTTTAGGGCTATAAGGTTTTGATTATTTTTTCATTATATGTTTTATGCTTGAATTAAGCGTTGTTATTGCTGAAAGGATTATTTTCGGTTTAAGAATTGATCTCTCCTTCTGCTAATATATTTCAAACAAATTATACTAAAAAGAACCAATTTGTTGTCTCAAGATTATGCCAATAATGGAATTGATCTGATTATAGTATGCAATCTCTTCCCGACCTATTGATTTATAACATGGTACATTTTCGCATGTTGAAACTTGTAAAAGTTTGCTATGTTAAGGGACGGAGTCAGAAATTTGATTTAGTGGAGATTTGATTTAAAAAATTACAAATAAAATGAAGTAGGTGAAATTCTAGCGGTACAAATTTATTGGAATGATATCTTTTTTTTTGGTTATTGAAAACCAACCAAGTGAAACAGAAAGTTGTTGCTTTTGTATCGCTACTCCTAGACGGTGTAGAGGATCCAATCGGTGTTGGCCATTTGCCTTGGCAACATGCATGTCAATTTAGATACTAGTGTAGTAGAATAAACCCCATATTTTTTATTGTTCAGTGAGTGACATACTGGTACTTATCATCGAAAGAAAATGAAGTATGCAAATTAGAAGGAATCTTAAGTTTGTAACAATGTTATAATTGCAGCTGCCATGCCTACTTCAACTATTAATTCATGAATTACCTTGACTGATACCCTTCTTAAAGTTTATAGAAGTTTTCTTATTGTTCCTGGGCTTGTTTTAGTTGAATTATTCTGCATCTACATGCTGTTATGTTTCATGAAATAAACGAGCCTTCTGTATGTATATTAGTTGTTTTTTCAGCTTTTAAAATGTGACACTATCGTAGAGATAGTTCGGAGGAGGTCAATATATAATGGATTTTTTTACCTTTCTGATCAAATTGACTCCAAGGAAACGTGAATTAAGCATTTAAATTCTTTTACCCAGTTTTGAAGAGGTTGCTTTCAGCTTCAATGGTGGAAAAGATTCAACTGTGAGTTCTTTTATGGATACTTTGTCTTTTTCCAAACTTTCAATGTCTTTTTCTCTCCAAATTTGAGAAAGCTCTAATTGTGCAAAATTCTACTCTTATAGGTTCTGTTGCACCTACTCAGGGCAGGCTATTATTTGTACACGTCTGGAAAATATCATTCTATTGGTGATCCTGATGACTGTGAAATCACATTTCCAATACGAATAATTTATTTTGAGAGTCCATCTGCGTTCCCAGAAATAAATTCATTCACTTATGACACAGCCACTGCGTAAGTGAGAAAATATGTTTCTTATGATGTTTCTGCTCATCCTTTCTTTTCGTTTTCCCATGATTTTTGGTATTCAAAAATTTGCATTTTGCTCTCTCCCCCAGTTGCTGTCCATGACATCTTACTTGCAATTGGTTTTTTAGACTAATAGATAAACTTTTACAGTTTCAAATTGCAAATGGACATCATTCGCCTGGATTTCAAGTCGGGTCTGGAGGCTCTTTTAAAAGCTAAGCCTATAAGAGCTATTTTTCTTGGTGTCCGAATTGGAGACCCTACTGCGGTATTTCATGAAATTTTATACCTTGCAAGTTAACATCTAATTTCAGCATAAGTACGTTCAAGAATGAGTTCTAAAGAGTTTGCTAATATGTCTGATATCAATTTTACAGGTAGGTCAAGAGCAGTTCTCTCCCAGCTCGCCTGGATGGCCACCTTTCATGAGAGTGAATCCAATCCTTGATTGGTCATACAGGTATGTCTATGCACATAAAACTCCTATATATTGTGTGCAATTGAAGCAACTTACTCCTTGATTGCAAATGAAGATTAGCATTTGATATGGCAGCATGCATTTATATTTGCTGAAACGAGCTTTACATCTGGAACCGGTAGTTGATGCAAGAACTATGTTTTGATACATACAGTGTGTCATGTAGGGCTATCATGCATTCTTTGATCATTGGGAAAGCATGAAGTAATGAAAATATGTTAGATGTGACATTTTGTGATGTAGCATGGATTGGCTTTGGTTTAATATCAAACCTTTGGTTGGAACTTAAAAAGGGTTTCTTTTCTGGCATATTACACAGCTTTTTCCTTCCTTTCTCCTTGATCCCACATGGTACTCAAGATCTATGACTTGAGTCATCCAATAACATGACCTCTCATCCAAAAAATGGCCATAAGCAAAGCAGCCAAAGCTCCTCTTTACATCTCTATACACAGTGTTAGAGACATTTTAGTGAACAAAACATATTTGTATTTGGTTTATTCATTCTCTTCATGGCTGTAGCTAAGTTGATTGCGATACTTTTCTTGCTTGGCTTGTATTCTGCATCAAAACAAAGGTTTAACCTTTAATGTGAATCTTGCAGAGATATTTGGGCTTTCCTCTTGACTTGCAAGGTTCGATATTGCAGCCTATACGATCAGGGGTAAATCGTCGTAGCTCAAATGGTTTGGAATTTTGTTCAATGGGAATATTAAAAAGGACAAATTCTTTTGTATTTATTTGAGAGAGATCATATCTTCTGGTTGGCTTTATCTTTTTCATTTTACTTGGGAGGTGATGTCAATTGTCATGATGATTTTGGATCATACAATAATTGTATATAGCAGTTTGTCTTCAATCATTCTGAGTTTCTTTGGGTTGTTTGGCATGAAAATTTGTGTTCATGTAAATTTGTTCAATTTTTGCAGTTATACTTCAATTGGTAGCATTCATGACACAGTTCCTAATGCTTTGTTGTCCATTGGCAACTACAACAACAGTGAAATAAAATTCAAACCTGCATACCTGCTTCCAGACGGAAGATTGGAAAGAGCAGGTAGAATAAAAAAATTATCTTCTCTTCCATTATCTGCCATTAGCAATGGTTTGAAAAGTGAGGATCCACATCGGAAATGCATGCTCACAGCCACAGTCATTGCTGTGGGAGATGAAATTCTGTAAGTTTGTTGTTGCTACATTGCTTTATTTGACAAGTTCCTCCTCGACTCCCTTTACCAGTCATTTCATGACCACCATGCCAATGTGATGTGATTCTCCATTAACATGTCAACAGAAGGGTCTAGTATAGTTGCATCCTGAGTGTTTAGCTATAAAATCCAACTTCTCTCTGCAACCCTATTTCCACCCAAATGTCAACATTATGCATAAATAGTTGATGCTTGCTGTCTCAGCTACACTGTATCTTCTTTTCTTTCCAAAATATAATCGTAAATTTCCATAGCATAAACTCCTTATCTTCCTTATCATAATGATTATGTGCAAAGGTTTAACATTTTTCGACGAACAACTTGTTAAATAATTTATTTCTACATTATTATACTCTGCTTTGTGTTATTTTTTGACTTTACAACTCAGTGACTTATCCTTGATATCCTGGCTTGAAAAATTTACATTAAAACTATGGACACTTCATTTTGCATATCTAATGGAAAATAGTGGACTGCATGAGTGATCGTCTAAATTTTTCTATGACTGTCATGTGTAATTCCTGTCATTTTGTATATGATATTTTCTATTGGTTCGATAGCTCAGGTTTGGCACTATTGAGGATCAGTTAGGATCAACTTTGTGTAGAAAGCTCCATTCCATAGGTTGGGCTGTATCCCAATTTGCTGTAACCCAAAATGATGTAAGTTGTATGTTTTAAATGAATTCGCATATTTGGTAATTGAAGTTGAATATTGGTGAAGTTTTACGGTGTGTCCTTCAACTTTGTGTTCTATGAACAACTTCATATGACATCCTCTTTGAATCCAGGTTGATTCTGTTGCAGAGGAAGTCGAGAGGCAAATGTCGAGAAATGACATGGTAAAAAATTGTATTCAACTACTCTGCGCGCTTATGTGTGTATGTGTGTGAGAGAGAGTTTCTCCTTTAGTGAGTTCACGTCATAAAGATATTATCAATGATTTTCTTTTAAATGTTGATAATCTTTAAGCTGATTTCTCTCAGGTGTTCATATATGGAGGAGTTGGTCCATTGCATTCAGATGTCACTGTAGCAGGAGTTGCAAAAGCATTTGGTGTTCGAATGGTTAGTTGTATCTATGTTAAAATATTTATCATAGCGTATTTAGCTAAGCTTGTAAAACAGAAAGTAAAAGTTACTTTTTTTCGAACATCTTTTTTTTTTTTTTTTAAGGTTACAAAATGCGTAATGCATGAGAAGGCTGAGCCTCAAGCCTTACAAGCTTAGGCATGCCTAGGGAAGACTTGGGGTCATAAAGCGTTTCCCTATTTTTAATATTATTTTAAGATTATTAATGATAATTCCTTTTATTTAATTTTTTATTTGACTTAAAAAATAAAAGGCACATGCCTTTTAGTGCCTAGGCCATATCATTAGTCATGACTTTTGCTGCCTAGACCTGCATTATAGGCCGTCAAAATATGGTTGACCACCTTTTCCATGCCTTTCCTATAGGTGGGGTGCGCTCTTCACTCCTATGCCCGTCTAGGCTCAACCTTTTCCCACCTTTTAGAAAATTGCTTTAAGAAAAAGCCACATTTTTTCAAAAAAATACATTTTTAAATAATGATGTGATATTATTTTAACCACACATTCTTCAATAAAATAATATTACACGCAAATTCAAAACTTTTCTTTATTTTTTAACCACACATTTTCCATCAATATACTATTTAAAAATTCATTCTTAAAAATATAATGTGGCTCAAACAATTTCAACTTTAACCCATTAAAAAAAAAAAAATGTTTAAAAACTTATTTACTGGTACATGAACTTTTTAAGCTTAGCAAAACATGCTCTTAGTCCTTAATTTTCGTACTTTAATGGTTCAACAGCTGGCAGAATGGTGCTTGACAATGTTTTGCTTCCCTGCTAAAGAACACTGGCGTACTCTTATTCTAACCGTGTGCACATTTACAAATACTAACTTTATTACCTTGTTCGATTATCTATCAAAGGCACCTGATGAAGAATTTGAAGAATATTTAAGGCATCTCATTGGTGAGAAGTGCACAGGGGACAGGAATGAGGTATTGCAAAATTAAATTGTTTATAAGGTTCAAACCTTTTAGTTAATATAATATTCAAAAATTAATGGACAGATGTTATTACGATTAATATATTAATATCTTAATTTAACAAGTACAGAAATGATACATCTTGATGAAAATAAAATGACGACATATTGTACATCACTTGGTGAAATGTACGAATGGGGAGGTTTCCAGAAAATGAAGTTAAGAGGTGTGCCAAATGCATAGTAGTTGCCTATTCTTGGCAGTGAGATGTTGAACTGGTATTTCTTGGAAGCATTCTGTGAAGCTGGGGACAAATGAAAGCCATGCCTGCTTATTTGTGTTAATATTTTTCCATTTACGAGAATAGAATGTCATTTTGTGGGGGGTATGTGGAGTTAGACTGGGGATATAATACTCTTCTGCCTGCTAATATTTTCTTGTTTTTTGGACCAGATGGCACAGTTGCCTGCGGGTATCACCGAATTGCTGCATCATGAACAGCTTCGTGTGCCTCTGGTACGTTGATGTAATCTGTTCATGCAAATTTTTGTTTTCTACTTACACATTGATATCCATTGCAAGTTATTTTGAAAAAGTGCTTTTGGAGCGTTTTATTGCTTTGTAATTTTTTATGTCCACACAGTTTAAAATGTCCACAAGGCATATTTTCAGTACTTTGTGATGCAGTGTGAACGGACCAGAAGTTATATTTTGGTTAATCAGTTTACAGTAGAAAGGTAGATGTAACATCCTCTAGGGAAGTCCAAATGGATTAATGATATATAGTTGTAATTCCTCCCCCCCCCCCCCCCCCCCGCGTTTTTTTTTTGCCTCCAAATCACTTTGTTATGCATTGTTCTGGTGCTAATTGTTCCTTTATATTTTTGATTTTTCATCCTCGAGGTCAACTTCTATGCACTGCTATGAATATTTTTTTCTTGCAGTTTTCTAATGCATGTTTCTTGCCATTACTTTTACCTGACATGTATGATCTCTGTCTTGAAGTGTAAGTGCGAATACTTGTTTATATTTGCCTTGTGTAGATCAAGTGCCAAAATGTGATCATACTTACTGCAACGAATGTTGATGAGATGGACAAGGAATGGGATTGTTTGATTGAATTTATGAGATCCAGCAGTCCTTTAGTAGCCGTAGAACCATTTGTATCAAAGCGACTGGCAACAACTCTTTCTGATGTGAGTGTCTATAAACATCTCTGTGTGTGTGTGTATTAGATTGCTATGCTAGATTCATCGATTATATGGAAATTTAATGTTAACCTGCCTAGACGTATGACATTTTATGCTGTTGCCTGTATAGAATATTTAAACGATTTACTGTGGATCCATGATGCAGGTGGAAGCAGCTCATCCTCTTTCAGAAATCTGTATTGAATTTCCTGATCTTTACATTGGTAAGAATCTTCTTATAATAATTCACTGTGCCAGTGGTAGTGTTGGTATTTCTTGTTACTAATTAATTTTACCCTTTCTCGGGATACAAAGGAGGTTACCGTGAATCAAGAAAAGGGCTTCTTGTTGTCACTTTTGAAGGAAAGGTAAAAGATTTTTGCTCAAAGATACTTAGGGCCTGTTGGTAAGGCTTTTGAAAAGTCAAAAGTTGTTTATGATATTAAGAAGCTTGCCCAAGCTTCACCTAGCCACGCTTTATGTTTTTTACACCTAAGCTCCGCCTCGCGTAGGCTCATAAAAGCTTGAAACTTGGATTGGCATCACACTATATATATTTTAGAACATTGGTTTTTGGACCTCTTTTGTTAAAATATTGGAAGTGCTTTGTCTAATTAAAAGAATTTTTAGAGGGTTCTGAAAACTCTTCTACAAAATGCAAAGCAGAAGCCTTGCCAAACTGGCTCTTAATCGTTTTGAGTTCATAACATTTACAAGAACTTTACAGAATGCCTGGAATTGTTGCAGGAGCAAGAGAGAATAAATGGTGCTGTGGAAGCATTACGCAAGAAGTTTCAGCCAGGATCATTCTCTGAAATTAACTGAACATGAAATGTCTCTGGTAGTAGGCCTCCAGATTGTGGCCTGAAAGTAATCACCATGTTTGGGGGTTAAATTTTGTGAGGAAGAATATTACAGGATAGAAAAACTATTCTTCAATCACTACAGATGAAATTGTGTAGCCATATCAACTACGTAAACTTGCTAATCTTCCCTTATTTTTGTCATCAATTATGGTTTATTTCATTATTTCTAGATATATACTTATGAAAATTTTCTGAAAAATGGAAAATAGGTATAGATATCTGGCTCACAGTATCTTCCAAGTATTGGTTTTTCCTTGGTCTGGAAGATGAAAAGGAGGTTGCACTCGTATTTGAATGTTTAGTATTGATCTCCTGCTCTTAATAGGCACGATAAAAACTTTTCACTGTTGTTGTGATAAGATGACCTTAATTATGTTTCTTTGAATTTTTGATCATTCTAGAGAACCATAGTTAAGGTTCTCTTGTCATGTCAGCGATAAAAAGTTTTTAGCCAATCCTCGGATCATGATTGTTTAAAAGCTGTAGCATTTGATCAAAATTCACTTTCGACCTTGTGGTTGTTCACATATTTCTTCATTTGATAAAGATTTTAATAAAAAACTTAACAAGTTTTGATAAAAATTAAAAAATATCTGAATTTAAATTAATAAAACTAGTTATTGACTTTCATCTTAATTTTTTAAGCTTTTCCAAACAAACGTTAAATAATATGTGAATTTTATTTGATTTATTTCTCTCGAGTCGCTGGTTTGGGGATATAAGATTAGGAAAAGGGAAATATAAAACCAGAAGAAACACTGTAAAGGAGGATCGGAAATAAACTGGGACGATAATTAGGAAATTTCACCAACGAATGGCCGAGCAGGGTGGAAATTCTAATGAAGAGAATGGAAATTTTGGTATTAATTTACCAAAAAATTCTCAAAGAACCGTCATCACAGCCACCAGTGATGATAACCTCAAGGAAATCTTTCACCAAATCAGAACATCTAAAAACCCTGTAAGCAATTATTCTTCAACTTGTGTTTCAGTGCTTAGATATTCTATTTATTTCATAAAAATCTCATTTGAAATTCTGAATTGAATGTGTCTTGCAGGCAGTTATCAATTACGGCGCATCGTGGTACGTTATTTACGTGAACACTAGGTGTTCGATAAAATGTCTGATCGAAGTTCCCCATGAAAATGTTGCAGTATTCGCTGATTGATATGTTAATCATTGAAATTTGGAACTTCAGTTGCTTAAATATTTCTTTCTAATTTGAATTAAATTTGTGGATTTTCAGGTGTCGTGTTTGCAGTCAGATCCTTCCTGCATTTTGCCAACTGAGCAATAAGTTTCCGAAGCTTTCTTTTGTCTATGCTGATATTGATGAATGCCCAGAAACGACGCAACACATTCGTTACACACCCACTTTTCATTTCTACAGAGATGGCGAAAGGGTGGATGAGATGTTTGGTGCTGGAGAAGAACGACTACATGATCGCCTTTGGCTGCACTCTTGAAATATATATATAGTTCGAGTTCTTAGCATTTTCTGTTGTGACTTTAACTTGTTATTTTTCTTCATCTCTGATTTTCAATGTTGATACGTAAACTTCAAATCAATGTTCCTGATAAATCAGCTTCTCATAAATCCAACAATCAATGAAAGCGGTTAACAAATGGAAAATGCTTATTGTACACAATTTCTTACATGATGTTTTAGACGTGTTCAATGCTAACTCGCTAAAAGAGAGACGGTGAAAGCGTGGTCATCAACCAAAGAGGAATTAATTGTTTCAATGATCATTGAACTTAGGTTCATGTTTTTTATTGGTCACTGAAGTTTAAATGTCAAGTTATTGAATTTGGGTTTATGTCTTTGATTATTCACTGAAGTTTAAGCTGTCGAGTTTTGGTCACTGAATTTTAAAAAATGTTGTACGAAAAATATTGTACATTACTCACTGTAAATTTGATATTTTTCAAAGTTCAACAGTTATGTTAGCGAGTAACGTACAATATATTCCAAAGTTCAGTGATTAAAAATCAACATTTTAAATTTCAGTGAGTAATTTAAGACATGAAGTTAAGTTGGGTGAGTAATCGAAGACATTGAACTAAGTTCAGTGATCAAAATTTGACATCTTAAATTTCAGTGACCAATCGAAGACATGCATCTAAGTTTAATGACCATTGGAACAATTAACTCACCAAGGAGATGGATTAGTTCCAAAATCAGATATTTCAACTTGAAATATGGAAGTTGTATCTTTTGAACCAATATTATGATTTTACGAAACTAAACTAGAATTGGGTCGAAATCATCCGCTGAAATCAAACTGTAATTATCTTCAGTTTCTGAATTTTCATGTCATAATTTACACAAATTGCAGATCCGTCTTCAAAATTTTCAAGCAGTTATTCTTACATAAAATGCACAATGAGATCTGCATCAAAAACTAATTCAAAATGGAGTTTTTAATGAGCACTGAGGATGTCCAGCCCCTCGCTTATTTCCCTACTATATAAAAAAGGGAATGTGAGGGTACTGTAGAAAGCAACAGTGTCTTGATCCATCTTTACTGTAACATTTTTGTTTTGGTTTTTGTTTTTTTTTTTAAATTGGGGGCAAAAAACGACGTCGTTTGCTTGATATATATTTTATTTTATTATACACTACCTCCAAATTTACTGCAACACGCAATTTTCATTCGCCCCCCACTCCGATATATCCCTACTATATAAAAAGGGGAATGTGAGGGCACTGTAGAAAGCAACAGTGTCTTGATCCATCTTTAATGTTGCATTTTTTTGTTTTTTTTCAATTAGGGGCCAAAAACGACGCCGTTTGCTTGATATATATTTTATTTTATTGTACACTACCTCCAAATTTACTGCAACACGCAATTTTTATTCCTCCTCCACTTCGATATAGATATATATAGTAGGGATATAAGAAAAAAATCACTTTTATAAAGAAAAAAAAAGATAGAGATAATATGCGACAGAAATTTTTTTACAACTTATTACTTGTAAGTAAAAAATTTGAAGAGAAAATAATTAAAGAGAATTTTAAATTGAAAAAAATTATAACGTAAAACTACACAGTAAAAAAAAAAAATCTCTCCGTGCATACAGCAAAAGCCTCTGTACATGGAGACATTAGTCTCCACGCACGGAGACATTGTCTCCGTGCATGGAGGGAAGAAACAAAAAACAAAAAACAAAATAAAAATTAGGAAGGACTCCGTACACCCAAAGGCTCCGTGCACAGAGAGAGAAATAATTTTTTTTTATTTATGTTTTTGTGTTCATTTTTAGGCTCATTACGAGATATCAAATGAAGTCGAAATATTACATTCTTAATATCGTTTTGAAGCACTCGCGGCATAGTATTACACGTCGTTAACGGTGCGTGAAACGGTCAATCGTAGCAAATATTATGGGACGTCAAAGTAAGCATTTTCAAACTATATTTCGAAATTTTCGATAACAAGCTAACTTTAAAAATTCATCGACGATTGTACGATAGTCGAATCGATAAATGTTTTACATTCTCTCAAAACTCATTTTGAGAACTATATCGTAGAGACATCGAATGATCTAAATAGATATAAAAAATAGTTAAACGGACATTAAACGTATGCGTTAAAAAATACGCATAAGTCTTTTTCTTAAAAAAATCAATTATTTTATTACTATTTCGAAATTTTCGATAATAAGCTAACTTTAAGAATTCGTCGACGATTGTATGGTAGTGGAATCGATAAATGTTTTACATTCTCTCGAAACTCATTTTGAGAACTATATCGTAGAGATATCAGATGATCTAAATAAATATCGAGAATAGTTAAACGGAGATTAAACGTATGTGTTAAAAATGCGTATACGTCGTTTTTTCTTTAAAAAACCAATTATTTTATTACTATTTCGAAATTTTCGATAACAAGCTAACTTTAAGAATTCGTCGACGATTGTATGATAGTGGAATCGATAAATGTTTTACATTCTCTCGAAACTCATTTTGAGAACTATGTCGTAGAGATATCAGATGATCTAAATAAATATCGAGAATAGTTAAACGGAGATTAAACGTATGTGTTAAAAATGCGTATACGTCGTTTTTTCTTTAAAAAACCAATTATTTTATTACTATTTATTCTTTTTTCGCAACAATTTTCTCAATGCATCATTTTGCTCAAAAAAATTATGTGGTATGACGAAAAAAATTTTCTCCATGCACGGAGTGAATATGTTTTTTTTTCATCATTTTATATATTGAATTATTACTAGAAAATTAAATTTTATCTCAAACTATTAAAAAATACTGATTAATAATAAAAAAATTGAAGAAAAAAATTAAAAAGAATTCTAAATTGAAAAAATTATTATTTATAACGTAAAACTACACAGAAAAAAATTCTCAAATCTAAGTTTCTATTTGGAATTATTAAGAGAAAAGAATTATAAATTGAAAAAAAAATTATAATGTAAACAACACAAATAAGAGTGATTGAGAATGGAGTGGTGGGAGGTATGAAAATTACCTGTTGCAGTAGTTTCTTACAGTATAATAAAATACTTTAAGGTAAATTTTTTTTTTATATATTTCGACTTCGTTTGATTATGTTTTATTACATTATAATAAAATATTTTAAAGTTAATATTAAGTTTTATTATGAAAAGAAAAGAATTAAAAAATTTTAAAGTAAAAAAAAAA